AGCAAAGTTACCTTTCCTTTCTTATCCATCAATACTGGTAGTGCTTGTCATGTAATAAGCAATCCTGGGCTCACAGCCTCCTGCTTTTATTCACTGTCTTCTCTTTCAATGCTTTTTCTGCAGAGGAGAATGTACCGAAACTTTACGGAATCGCATCCGAGAGCTGGAGACAGAGTGCAAGAAGCTGAGCATTGACATCAAGCTGAAAGAAGATCAGATACGAGAACTAGAAATGAAAGTCCAGGTAACAAGAAAGTGCCAGGGCTTAGAGCAGCATCACAGCAAGCAGTCTCAAGGGTCTGAGAGTGCTGGATCTACGCAAGAGGCAATGAACACCTCCAAGAATCGGTCTCTTCAGATGTGTTTCTTGCATGTCTTGCATCAGAGTTTGTAAGAAGATGGGGATGAGAAAGGTTACAGGTCTCAGCTCCACGCCACTCCAATGTTTAAATGATTTGGGTTGATTTTCTTTTCCCCACACCAATGGTCAGGATAGACTGAGGAAAACATAACCTCCACTACACCTTATGTCCTGTGTGAGGCCTTGTTGGCAGTCTGTGTTGTTTTAAATGTTGGCAAGTAAGGAATTCAACAACAACAAAAAAAACCCAGCCATCTAGAAATAGCCATTCCCAACCACAAGGTGACTGACTTCCATGCAATAATTGCTCCCTCCTTTTCACTTTTCTACATTTCTGAGTTTGCATCAGTTTGGTTAAACGTGAAAAGCACACGAAGATGAAGAAGTCCCTCCCATCAGACAACTGAAATAGCTTACAATGCAGTCAGTCTTTATTTAGTATAGCTTCAAATGTCCTGGTAAGGGCTTTATCCCCATTCTAGCTGCTTTCATATTTCATATTTCCATATTCTTTGTGCTTGCAGAAGAGTTCTGTGCAGCTCTCAGCTGGGAGGGATGGGTGAAAGGTCTCACAGACAGCAAGGAGCTGAGGGGCAGGGGAAATGGGACTGAAGTTCTTCACAGGGAGAGTGGTGAGGTGCTGGAACAGCTGCCCAGAGAGGCTGTGATGCCCCGTCCATCCCTGGAGGTGTTCAAGGCCAGGTTGGATGGGGCCCTGGGCAGCCTGGGCTGCTATTGAATGTGGAGGTTGGTGGCCCTGCATGGCACAGGGGGGTTGGAGCTTCGTGATCCTTGAGGTCCTTTCCAACCCTGTTCATTCTGTGATTCTGTGGATCTGCTCACTGCACTGTAGCTGCTCTTTGTGCAGTATGGCTTTAATCACTTGTGTGATGGTCATGTGTAATTACTGCAGGTGATACTACAGCGTCCTCAATTAACCATCATTTTAATTTGACTGCATTAATACCAGGCCCAGTAGCGTGCTTGTAAGAAAGGGAAAGATTGCTCAGTCCAGCTCATCCGTGAAACCTACAGGAATGTTTGTCCTCATTGCTCCTACAGGAACTGAGGAAGTACAAGGAAAACGAGAAGGATACGGAGGTGTTGATGTCAGCACTTTCAGCCATGCAGGATAAAACGCAGCACTTAGAGAACAGCCTGAGCGCAGAGACGAGGATCAAGCTGGATCTTTTCTCGGCGTTAGGAGACGCGAAACGGCAGCTTGAGATCGCCCAAGGTAACACAGAGTGGTGGGGAGGGTTGGAGACGGGGAGTCCTGGGGTCCCCCCCCAATCCAAGCCTTCCTGGGATTTCCTCCGTTTTTATAAATGGTTTCCTCAAAGCTGGAGATTTTCTTTGAAAGAGCTAGAAGATAAGATAGCAGCGCTGTCTGTTGGCCCCGGCCCTCGATCTGAAGCAAATAGACCTAAATGGGGGGGGGGGGGAAAACCCAAAGGTCCCCCTGTCGGTAAGCAGAGAGGTGTCCGCGTTGCAGTGCCACCAGGGGGAGCGTGGAGCCAGCGCTTAACCTGCGGGGCTGTCTGTTAGCTGGGAGCCCTGGAGCAAAAGGAAGTAAACTCTTGGTTTAGTAGCTGTGGAATTTCCTCGAAGGAGTTCGTTTGCAGGAAGGCTTTCTTACAATGAGAATCTTTTTTTTTCCTGTGCTCTTTACGCAGTTACAGAAATCACGGGTCTGTGAGTGTGGGGGTGGTGTGGAAGGCGGGGGGGTGTAGAGAAATGGTGTGGACAGCTTTGGAAATCAGGAGAATAACGTGTTCAGTGACCCCCCGTGGGGTGGCTGTGACAAATGGGACAGTGCAGAACAAAAGTCACATTTTGGCACCGTGCAGCTGTGGATCCAAACAGTGCAAAACGGAATAGAAGATGCGATGGTGCGACGTGGTGCTGTAAGCATCTGACACAGAGGGGCAGCTGCACCAAGGCTTTTGCTTTTGCTGTTAGCAGATCAAAAAGCCAAATCCCTTCGTGGCGTTTGGCTTCAGCTGCTCATCACAGGGGCGCTGGAAGGTGAGAAGGTGCAGCTGTTTCTCAGCGACGCTCTTTGCCATTTCAGGGCAAATCATTCAGAAAGATCAGGAAATCAAGGAGCTCAAACAGAAGATTGCCGAAGTGATGGCAGTAATGCCCAGCATCACCTACACCGCAGCCACCAGCACGCTCAGCCCCGTTTCCCCACATTACTCTTCCAAATTTGTGGAGACCAGCCCTTCTGGACTCGATCCCAATGCCTCTGTTTATCAGCCCATGAAGAAATGAATGCCAACTCTGGTTTTGCCCGGCGACGTCGCCGCTGAAGGCTTCACACAGGAGTGTCTCTTGCAGTCCAAGATGAAATTGTATCGTGTGAGACTGTTATTTGTTGTCATTAAAAACAGGAGAAAAACAAACAAACAAAAAACCCATCTGGATCAACTAGAACTGCCCATCAGTTTTTCTTGTAAATTTTTAGAAACCTCACAGAACTTTGCAATTTATTTTCCTTGGCCAATGCATTAAAAACGATTCTTGGTTTTCAAGTAGCCAATTTTGCCTTCTTATGTACTTGTGCATGGTTTCCTCTTGAAAATACAGGGCTTTGCTTGATTTTGAACCCTTTCTTCTCCCGTTGTTTTTATTTTTCAACAATCGAGTTGAATTTGCCAATCAGATTCATTGAGAAATAGTGAGGAAAAACCTTTTGTTTTGACAGTGAAAGGGTTAAATAATCCAACAAAGCTTTGATTGATAGATGTGTTAAATACAAATAGGAGGCGTTGAGGAAGAGAAATTAATTCCCCCGTCCAAGGACCAAACCAAATTCAGGGGTGTTGCTTAAGGGAAAGCAGGAGGAAATGGGTGAGGATGCGACCGTGGTTGTTGTGTGAAATATTTATGCTCCCGTTGGTGTCTCTGGTCATTGAGAACTGCTGACAGTCTTGTTCACAGTGCCTTGGGAAAAGACATTTCAAGAGGAAACTTGATAGTTTGAACTATTTTTCCCCCCTTCGCTGTCATCTAGCTTTATATCAAGCTCATTACAGAGTCTGCTGCAAATTGTACATGGTAATTTGGATGTTCATCATAAACCAAGGTTACATCTTCTGTTAATTTCGATATAAACTCAGCAGTGTTCTGTAACTTGCCTTGATGATACAGCATCACAAAAGGCACAATATTAACCCAGGAAGCGTTGTGAAGGCAGAGCTGTGCAATGTACTGTATACAAGAGACTGTAAAGCTGGCTAATAAAAGCTGCAGTTCTGGTTTTTTATTATTATTACTTTTTTTCTATCACCTCGTGTGCAAACTTAAACGGAGCTGAATATTTTTTTCAGCCGTTGTGCCAAGGAGGTTTTGAAGGAAGTTTTTGAAATTGCAGAAAGGTTTGAGTTAAAATGTGTGCTGTAGGTTGGTAGAAGAAACGTTGGCACTGCTGACATCCAAAGGGCTGCAGATGATTTTGAGGGTGGGGGTTGAAAGGATGGGAAACAAAACAATGGGGAGGAGCAGAATAAACTCAACGCTGTGGGTTTGCAAACATGGAGTGGGAAAGACAAAGGGCTTCTGAAAGGCTTTTCGTTAAGGCTTCCTGCTAATTGGTGCAGCTCATTTAAAAAACAAACAAACACAACGAAGCAGGACACACAAGGCAGTAAAAGTATTAAAGTTTCATCATTTCCAGCACAGATATTTTATTCTGGGATAAACTTGGAACTTCAGCCAGGTGTGCACATTGCTGTCAGCTGCATTTTTGGCTCGTCCTTTGTAATCCTCACCACCACTCACCACTGCTGGAGGTTTCCCATTGTTGCACAGAACTCTTTGAAAGGGGGGGATAACAGCAGGACAAGGGGAAATGGTTTGAAGTTGAGGGAGGGCAGATTGAGGTTGGATGTCAGGGGGAAGTTCTGTGCTATGAGAGCGGTGAGGTGCTGGAACAGCTGCCCAGAGAGGCTGTGATGCCCCGTCCATCCCTGGAGGTGTTCAAGGCCAGGTTGGATGGGGCCCTGGGCAGCCTGGGCTGCTGTGAAATGTGGAGGTTGGTGGCCCTGCGTGTGGCAGGGGGTTGGAGCTTCATCATCCTTGAGGTTCCTTCCAATCCTGGCCATTCTGTGGACACGAAATGGCATCACTGACCTTTTTTGTGCTGAGGTTCCCCGTTTTGCTGCCTCCTTCGGCACATTTTGCAGTCAGTGCTGAGGTTCCGGTATTCGGCCTCGGCTGCGTTCTTTTCCCTGTGGGGTTACCGCTGTTAGCAGATCCCGTGCAAAACCTTTTGCAGCCAACGTGAATGCGGGATAAAGCATAAAGACGGGCCGCCATCGCCTCACCTCAGAGCCTGCGCTGGCTGCCATCGGAGCGCAGCCACGTCTGCAACCGCTTAGTGCTAAAAGAACAACCCCGGCCTGTATGGCTCTATGGGAAAGGGGGAAAAAAGGGCGAGAATCCATTTGCACTGAACCGCAGCGGCACTGAGCGGCGAAACGCCCGGAGCGACTGCGCTCTCCAAGCGCCTCACGTAGCCTCGCGTCATTACGTCACGTCACGTCGCTTTGCGTCATTACGTCACGTCACGTCGCGTTGCGTCACTCTGCGTAACGTAACGTCACGCCGCCGCGCTGTGCCGCCTCCCCTCCCCCTCAAGCCCCGCCCCCGGACGCGCGGAGTGCAGCGAAAGTTGCCGAAGTGGCGCGGCGGGATGGACGCGCTGCGCTCTGCGGGACGCGCTTTGCTGCGCAGCCCCAGCGTCACCAAACCGCCCTGGGCCGGCGGCCGCCACCAGAGTGAGAGCCGCCCCGCGCCCTCCCTTCGCCTTCCTTTCCTTCCCTTCCCCATCTTCGCTCCCGCACCGCAGCCCGCGGGGTTCGGGCCCGGTTCTGCTCCCGGCTCGTGGGGGGCGGGGGGGAGGGGGATCGGCGCTTTGGGTCCGAGGCGCCGCCCGGCTCGGGCTGTTCTGCGGGCTGTGAGGATCGGCGCTGTAAGGAGCGCCCTGTGGGAAGGCGCCTAGACGAACTTCCTGGCTCTTCCCATCCCTGCTCCTGTTTGTAAGGATTCCGGGCAGGCGGCTGCGCGAGGTGAGGCGGATCGCCCTCCCGAGCTGTGCCGTGCGGCCGCACGCAGGGTCGGGCTGCAGAGCACCTGAGCTGCAGGGATCTGGATTCGCTCACCGCTGCTGCCCGCCGGCCGCGGGGTGCTGCATCACAGCTCGCGTGTGCGTTGTTTGCGGGGCGGCACCTGTCCGTCTTCGCACGCTGCCTGCGGTGCAGCCTGTTCGTGTGCATCCAGCCTGGCGGCTCCTGTCTGCAGCCCTGTGGTTCCCACGCTGCTCTCCTTGGTTCCTCCCCTGCCTGAGTTACCCCTGGCTGCAGGCGGTGCCAGGACAGGTCTGTCACACTCCACCAGCACCTGGTGAAATCCGAGTTGCAGCCAGCCAGCAAAATGCAGCGCCCACCCAGCAAGCTTTTCTTGTATGTTTGGGACCCTAAGGTCCTCTTTCTTGCCTCATTAGAGCTCCCGGAGAACTGGACCGACACCCGAGAGACGCTGCTGGAAGGGGTGCTGTTCAGCCTCAAGTACCTGGGCATGACGTTGGTGGAGCAGCCGAAGGGTGAGGAGCTCTCAGCAGCTGCTGTCAAAAGGATTGTTGCCACTGTGAGTATCTGCAGATGCAGAACTTTGCAGAACAGGCCCACGTCACCTTCTGTCACTTGGGAATGATTTTAAAAGCTGCAAATGTGGAGGCAAAGCGCTCTGTCTGCAGACTTGGGAGCATCAGGGCTGCAAATTGCACCCGCCGAGGTGAGCAGGGCCTCTCCGCAGCATCTGGCACAGCAGGTAGAAATGCAGGGCAGCACTGGGAAGCCTTTCAGGCCAGCTCTGGTCTGTGGGGGGTTGTGCTGCAGAAAGCTGTTTGTGTGTCTGGGTTCTGGTGCTGCTTGATAAGCTTGGCTGACCCTGGATGTGGAAGGAAGCTGTGACCTGGGAACATCAGGCTCTCTTCATGGAAGACAGAGGCAGTGTTGAGTGCTGCCAGCACGTGACCAAGCTCTGGGCCTGTGCCTGGTATGCATTTTTGAGTTTTCTTTCCCAGGATTTGGAGACCGAAGAGGGAGAAGAGAGCAGCACAGTTTACTGCAATTCTCAGACAGTACAGCCACCCATCCTGCTTTAATCTCTGGTGCAAGAGGCACCGATTTGCAGCTGTCCTGTAATAGAGCCTCTCCAGTGCCCCTGCTCACTGGGCTGTCCAAGTAAAAATAATGCTTCTTTAATCCATTATAAAACTGAATGAGTCAGAGACACAATTGTGCTGCTAACTGCCATAAGACACAATAGAGTGCTGAACTGTGCTGGGTAATGACGGATCCTTTCCTGATTTATGCTGAGCTGTAAGGGAGGGGAATGCTCACGTGAAATGGGAGATGCTGGCAGAGCCTTTGTGGCAAAGCCCTTGACATCCGCTCTGAGAGTGAGAATGGAGCCTTTAAATAAATCCCCCGGGGCTGAGCCCATCCCTGGAGGCAGGACTCGCCATCTGGCACCGCTCTGGTGACCTCACATTGGTTCTGGTCTTTGGGCAGCAATGAGTTGGATATTTTTTTTTTTGGAGAGAATCAGCAATAAGCTGTGTGCAGCCTAACTCCTGAAAGCAGAAGAGTAGTAAATAAAAGAAGGTGGCACTTGAGTCATTATTTTTTAAGCTAGCATCCTGTTCTTGGTGCAGAGGATGCCTTGCTGCTTGAACAGGATGTGGCAGTGCATCTCAGAGCTGGCTGCCTGCAATCCCACATTCTGCAGGGCTGCCCTGCTGTCAGCACAGCTCCCACAAGGGCTGGTACCCTCCTGATTCCTTGAGTTTGCACAGTTGCCTCCATGGCTCTGGAGTTGTCCCTAGAGGGAAAACTCCCACAGGTTCCACCAGGCACTCACAGCTTTGCATAGCTTGGTCAGAGCAGCTGTGGTTTTGTGCTAATGATGTCCTTGTGGAGGGGCTGGACTGGTTCCTCCCCACTGTATGGAGTAAACATCCTTGTCTCACTAAGCATAAATTGCTGCAGAAGGGAAGGAAGCATTTTAACAAGTGCCTTATCATACCTGGCTGCAGTGCTACTGGCTGCTAGTAGTATCTCTTGTCTATTTAGAGTGACTGGTCGGTTGTGCTGGTAGAGCTTTGGATATCTCTGCTTAAAGCCTGTAATTTTCCCCTCCCTCTATTCCTTCCAAAGGCAAAAGCAAGTGGAAAGAAACTGCAGAAAGTTACACTGAAAGTCTCGCCCAGAGGGATCGTGCTAAATGACAGTGGAACTAACGAGCTGATTGAGAACGTCTCCATATACAGGTGTGTTGTGGGACACCCTGCCTCCTCTCTGCTTGTGCCCAGAGCGAGGAGCCACTCTGTGCTGGCATCTGAGCTCTGACCTCCACTCAGGCCTGAGCTGACATCTCTGTGGCCATCACATCCTAAAGCAAAGCAACGTGTTGCTGAATTTAAGACAAACAGATGTCTCCTGTGCTAAGCGTGTCCAGCAGTGGGGTAAGGAGAGTTGTGATGATCCCAAATGTTTTGGGTGGCCGTGCTGCTGATTGTACTAAGCATCCCGTGGCCACGTGTGGCATTGTTGAAGAAGTGCTGAAGCAGGTAAGGGCAGGAGGTGGATATGAGGATGGTCAGAGCGTTGCTGAACAGATGAGGATGCAAGCTCTGGGGCTGGCTGCTGCACGCCCTGCTTTTTGCCTCTAATGTTGACATCACTCTGACAAAGAGCAGGGCTTAGGCAGCTGCTGAGACCTAATACCAGTGTGGGAGGGGAGGGTGAGACTGGATTATCCCATATTCAGTCCTGGATTTTGTAAGTATATTTTCAAAGAGTACGTGGTTGGAGTCAGATGCAGGTTTGGAGGAGCGGAGCTAAGTTCAGATCTGTCCATTTCCATCACCTCTATCCATTCTCCTTTCACTCTTCCCACACTCACTTTCTGTCCTTCACGTGCTTTGCCACTTTGCTAAATGTGACAAGGGGAGCTCGAGGCTGGGGCACTCTCTAGCAGGACTATTAACCTACTTGCTTACTAAGCATCAACTACAGTTACCTCCCTCAGAGACGAAACTGCTGCTAAAGAGTGGAGCTGAGTGAAGCAGCCCTGAGCATGATCGCACCAAAACCAGTATTGCTGCATGGTGTAAAACCTCATGTGAGCAGAGCTGTGGGCATCAAATGTTCAGAAGCTGCCTTAAATTCTGCTCAGACACTTTCACAGCCAGCAATAAAGCTGTTCCTCCCCATCAGTGCTTGTTAATGAGCATCCCTTTGATTCAGTTGGCTGAAGTTGATGTGGGGACTGATGTTGCTTCCCAGAGCTGCTGGCAGGAAGGAGTGAAAGCTGGGATCTGTGTACATGGGGGCCGTTCCCTTACACTCCCTTAGTACCTTTTCCAGGGAGATCCTCTATACCTCCACTGTCTTCTGTTTGGCAGTTTTACTTACCAGGGAGCTGCTGGGTCTGAGCACTCCAGGTCGGGTGCTTGGGCAGGCAGCAGGACAAGGTGGCAGCAGCCAGAACTCAGCATGTGTCACTGGGTGTGCTGCTGCAAAAGGCCTTGTGGTTATAATTGGCTCACTCCAGAAATGAGTGTGAGTTCTGTTTTCCCTGAAAATTAATGTCTGTCATATAGAGCTGAACGCTGAGGTTTGCAGGAAAACAGCCAGCTGTCTGTGCAGGTGACCTTTCACAGCTTGTGTCACAGTTATTAAAACAGTGGAGATGTTTCTTTGGGGACAAGTGGGAGAAAGGAGTAAACTTCCAAGTGCCTCTAATCCAGAGCACAGCTCAGCTCTATTCGACACAACGCAGGTTGTTGAGCAGAGATGTTCTCATGTATAGTGAGAAACTAATGCAATGTAAAGAAATACAGAATGTGTCTTTTTAAGTCTCAGAATCTGCTGGGAACTTGAATGTTCCTGACCCTTCCCTGCAAAGCCTTTGGGGCAGTAAAAATATGAGCTGAAAAGGCAACGCTGGGTAATAGGAGAACTTTGGTGAAAGTGTTCTATTTATTTGTTGAGTTTTCTCTCTCCAGTATTACCTGCTAGATCTCCTGCATGCCCAGGGAAGAGGCTTTGCTTGTTGCTAGCACCTGCCTCCTTGCTCTAAATGTCCAGGGCTGCTCCAGCCAGTGCTTACTGCCTTCAGACAAAGTGCTTGGTCCCGCAGCACCTGGTCCAGAAGGTCTCTGGGAGATGGCAGTGGCTGGTGACAAGGGACATGCTGCCCTGCAGAAGGGAGCTGAGCTCTTGGTCACAACAAGATCTCCCTGAACTGCTCAGCCTGTTGCTCTTTCAGAGCCTTGTTGAGTGTTCTGGAATAAGCCCTGCTGGGGGACTGGGAGGGATGCAGCTGTCCCAGGGATGTTCCCACAAGGGATGCTGAGCCTCCGTTGCTCAGGGCTCATCTGCTGTCAGGGCTCTTGGAGCATCCCACGCATCTGCTGCTATAGGTCTCAGAGCCTGCATGTCAGCCTTTCTGACAGCTCCTGCTTCAAGTTTCCTCCCCTGATTCAAGAAAGCACATGGGAACTTCAAGAACAAGTCCTTTTCTCTCTTTGTAAGCTTGTTCTCCAAGGAAGAATTTCCAGAGTCTCTGAAGGCAGAGCATTTGTTAGGGGCAGTCCCAGACTGCTACACCGCAGAGTCTTTACTTGCCTTCTTGAACCTATCCTTTTCTGGCAAGGTGAAATGTTTTCTGTTCTCTCCTACCTCCCTGCAACATGCACAGTTTGTGCTGTGCTGTGGCTGGCTGCAGAGTGGCCAGCAGTCATACTGAGCATCTCTTGCAGTTAAACCAGTGGCATTAACTCCTCTGATGCCTCAAAGCTGAGTAATGCTCCTGTGCTCCCTCTGCCTTCCCTGCTTGGCCGTGCTGCTTGCAGACCTGGTGCAGAGCAGGTTTGTGGAGGGGTTGGTTGATCTGTGCCCCAGACAAGACGTTTCGTTCTGTCTTTCAGGATATCCTACTGCACGGCAGACAAGATCCACGATAAAGTGTTTGCCTACATTGCCCAGAACCAGCTCAATGAGAACCTGGAGTGCCATGCCTTCCTTTGTACCAAACGGAAAATGGTCAGTTCAGAGGAAGAAATGGGGATGTGGCTTTAAGAGGAAGAAGCAGAGGGGCTGCCTCAGTGCTGCGATAACAGCTTTGCGCATAGTTGTAGTGAAAGAGGGTTCTTCCTCATCTGAAGACCATGGCAGGGCACCCGTCTGGCTGCTGCCATGCCCTGATGCAGTGCTACCACCTGTTTGCAGGCAGTTAACGGCTGCCCAGGGACAAGCAGTTGGTCTCCAGAGGGACCCAGCACTGCCATGGGGCAGACGCAGGGAGGATGGAGGCAGAATTTGAGGCTGGAGTCAGCTGGTCTCCTGCAGAAAGGAAAAGCCCTTCTGGCCCCAGGATCTGGGGCTGGGTGAAAGCAATTGACCCAAAATCCTCCTGCCTTGCTGCAGTCCCAGGTTCTGGGATTCTTTTCCCTTCTTAGTGGCTACTTCCCAGAGCTGCTGGAGTCTGGCTGTGCTGTGGAGAGGCAGGTGAGGAAGTCTCCAGGAAGGCTGGTAGCCTGGGGCCTGTCTTGGTGATGGGAGGCATTTAGCCAGTGGCACTAAGCTTACCATGCTATTTTCTTTGGTGTTTGTTTGTTTGTTTGTTTGTTTTCCTCACTGTTTATCAAAACTCCCCATCCATTTCCTGGTAACATCTTTGCAGTCAGTTGTGTCCTTCCTGTAAGAATGCATTAGAATATGCAGTGCACTGCATGCCAGGAATCATGGAATGGCTGGGTTGGATGGGACCTCAAGGATCATCTAGTTCCTATCTCCCTGCAGTGCCAACTGCTAGATGAAGCACCAGATGGGGTTGCCCAGGAAATGAGGGTTTGAAGGAGATACCAGTGTCTGGTTCTTGCTTTGAACCCTCTTCTGGGATTTTTTCCTGCTGATTCAATGCATCTTGAGGAGGGAAGGCTCTCAGTTGGGCAGTGATCCAGCATTTTGCAAGCTAGCAGGGGAGAGAAGTGGGTCACTGGGCACTGTCTCTACATAGTGACAAGGGGAAAGCCCTCAGGGATCTCAAGTAGAGCAAGATCTGGGTCTGGCAATAAGTGGCAGAGGAGGGATAGGTCGGCCCCAGCAATCCTTCCTCTGCAGGGACCTGTTGGGCCTGAGCAAGGAGCCTAGCTCTGCTTCCTTCCTAGCAGGGAAGCAACATCCCAAGAGGCTGCAGGAGCTGTTCCTCTTGGTGCAATCCTGAGTAGCAATCCTTGGGACTTTGTGAGCATCTGTCTCAGGCAAGCCAGTGACACCACTCGTGCCCAGTTTGTTCCTTCTCTAAGGAGGCAGTAATGGAAGCTACAAGTTGTATCTCCCATCTGTGGCATGTGCTCCTGTCCTTGTGTGGTGAAGATAAACCTTGCTCTGCAAATTGAAATTTAACTCTCCAGTTGTAAGGGAATTACCTTGGTGATACATCAGCTGAGTACATCTCCTTCCAAAATGAATTTCTCCTAGATCTTTTCAAGTGAAAACTAGAAATACTTTGTCTTCTTTGTCTATAAAATGCATGAATGTCATGCTGGTAAGGTGCTGTCCTGCTCCTCCTAGACCAGAAACTGTCCCTTCCCCAGGGCAGGGTCCCTGAACATATGCATTGCTAACAGTCAACAGCATATAATTAGTCTGTATTTTTAGTTCATGAGTAATTCTCAACAGTAGCTGGGTCTATTAAACTGGATTCAGATGTGACAGCTTAAATTGTAAACAGCTGTGAGGAGTTTCATACTTAATTACCATATTTACGTTTTTACCATAAAACATTTGCACTTTGATGAAAGATGTAAATAGCTCTGACATTCAGATGAGCTCTCCTGTCTTGCGAGGCTTAAGTGGCACAGATAGGTTTGCTGTGACTCCTCTCTTCCTCCCATCCTGGAGCACGTGGCTTTTGGGAGGAATTTGTTCTTCAGTGCTCCCCCCAAACCACAGGGGGCTGTAGGTTACACTCCAGGATCTGAGTTTAAGTTGTACCTTCATAAACTCGTACAGCATTCCAGCCTTGCTGTGTTACTTGCTATCTCCTTGCACTTTAAGCTGCCAGTGAGATCTGCCTTCTCCTAATGAAACTGGCAATTATGTCACTATTTATATATCTCAAGCAACTTGGGTTATTTAAGGTATGCTTGGTTGCTGTTTTTTTTTTTTTCTTAATGCTGCTCAAGTTCCCATCTGGGGAAGGAATGAAGGGACTGAAGGTGAAGGTATCCTGCTGCAGCCCTGGCTGTGTGTGTGTCCAGCTCAAGGCTGTTCCAAAGCAAACCTGAATTGCTGCTTTAAGCCTGTATGGCCCCAGCTTAGCTTGGGGAAAGGGAAAGACCTCACAGGTCTCCTGCTTCTCAGACTGCTTCCTGTCCAGCAGCGTTTTGCCTTTTGCCTGCTGCTCTCAGAGCGTTCTCATGCATGTGGTCTTGCACAGTGCTGAGGTGGGATGGGTGGACATCCTTCCCTGGCTGTCACGTTCTATGACAGCAGTGTGGTCCGGGCTGTTTGGGTGCTGAGTCCCTTGGCAGTGTTGGTTGCTCTGGTGGGTGATGCTCTGCAGTGGGTGTTGCACAGCCTGGCCCTGCAGCAGGGAGCCATGAGCACAAGCCTGCAGCCGTGCAGCGGTTGTGTTTGTTGAAAGTGTGTTCAGGTGTGGGGTGCATGAAGAGCTGAGTGCCCTGTGGTTGGGAGGGGCGCTTCTCTCCCTCCTTGTCAGCTCGATGCCTCTGACAGCCATTTCCCTGCCTCCTCCATCTTCCTGTTACAGCTAAAGATGTGTCTGCGATGGGCCCCGTGTCCTACATAGAGCCAAGTCGCTGTTTCCATCAATATTTTGTCACCCCTCCACAGCCAGGCAGTGGGAAAGTGCACGGAGCAGAGGACTGGTTGGATCCATGTTAAGGTCAACCTGCAAAGCAAAACCCCATCTACTAACATGCTGCTTAACCACTCTCATTTCAGGCCCAGGCAGTCACCCTCACTGTAGCTCAGGCATTCAAAATAGCATTTGAGTTCTGGCAAGCCTCCAAGGAAGGTGAGTTTTATTCCTTCTTTATTCCACATGAAAATTCAAGGAATGACTTTGAGTTTTTCTAACTCCAAATTTCCAGGCTGCTGTTAAGGTTGGTCAAATCTTTGGAATGATTTAAGACATCATCCAGGTTTCTCTAGACAGCCTTGTAAATCAGACTGAATTTTGGCTGTGCTCCTTTCTTGCAAGTGGGGTTTGGAGAGCTGAGTGCTTCTCTGTGGTACCTCACAGCCCTACCGCTGTCGATATTTTTGCTTTTACCTTCCAGCAGATTATAAAACACACTCAAACCTGGGCTGCTTTGGGCAGAGGAGACCTGGTGGCCAGTCATAGCTCTCCTTATAAAAGGCATGTGGGACAGTGCTCTGCAGGCAGTGATGGGGTCTCCTTCTTTTGCAGAGAAGGAGAAACGAGAAAGATCCATCCTGGAAGGAGAAGGGGTGAGCAGCTCAAACCCAGCTGCCCCTGCTTGCTCTGATGCATGTAAGTCACCAGCAGCAAAGGTTTTCTTCAGCCTTGGGGATGGGAAGCAGCCTAATGTCTGGGGGGTTTTTCCCTGGCTGGGCATTTTCCTAGGAGGGCTTTGATCAGTAAGAAGCAAACACTTTGGTTGTAGCAGAGCTGTTGCCCTGGACTCAGTGTCTGCCTGTCAGATCTTTATATCTTCCCTTTAAATATCTCTTACATCCCTTTATATGCAGCTGTTGTCACCCCAAATCTGTTTACTTCTGCCTGAGGCAAATTGGCTGTAATGTCTTTGCAAACTTTGCATGGATCCTCACATCCTGAGTTTAATTTGGGTTTTGTGTTGGACCTGAAGGACTTGCTCTTCTGTTGGCTGCGTGAAAATAAAATAAATGGTAAAAGCTCTCGTAGTTCAGTGTCTGGCCATGGGTCCTCTGAAAGGCTAGATGGATAGCCAGGGAGAAATGGGACAAAAGGCTAATCTCCCTTCTGTGCTGGCCGTGGAGATAAGAGGATTTGACACAGAGGAAAATAGCATTAAACTGGGCTTAATCCCAGACTGGCGCATCTCATTCTTTCATATGAAGGCCCAGGACTGGAGGAATCTGTCACAAATAGTGGAGATCAGAACAAATGAGGTCCAAGGCTGCAAGTGGTATAGAAATGGGCTCTCTTGTCTGCCTGGCCACATGCTGATGCTTTGCAGCTGGGGCATTTCTGCATCTGCCCGCATCACCGGGTTATGGGGGATGATTGAAGGCTTCTCTGAGAGAACATAGCCTATGGTGTACCAGCAACCATCAGGCTATGAACTGCTCTTCACCCAATGCAGGATTTCCCCTTCGTCCTATGGAACACAGATGCCTCTTTGCAGGATGCTGAATTGAAGCTGTGGGCTGAGCTGAGGATGTCGCCCAGGTTCCCACCCTGTGGTTGCTGTTCCCAGCCCAGCCCTGGGCTATGAAGCTTTGGGGTGGGATGTCTCAGCTTTGCCAGAGTCTGATCCTTACCCGTTTTGAATGTAAGCACAGACCCAGGAGCCTTCCCTGATGGCTGATGGAGGGACAAGCTGGCTGACTCCTCTGCATCACTGCTCAGGGGTCTTGGGTGCCTGATAAGAGCATCTTGAATTGTGTGGGTGGAAACCACAGCCTTAACCAGTGTGAATGCTGCTCCTCCACACTAAAATTCAGGGCTGTGCTGAAAGGAATTCACTGCCTCCCCTGACTTCTCCCCTCAGGGGAAAGCAATTGCTGCAAAAAAGGCTTGGTTTTGTATTAATTTTTTTCTCTCCTGCCTCATTCCTTCTCTTCTGTGTTTGCAGCTGCACCCACAGGGAACTTGCTGGATTTAGAAGATCCTGCCAAATTGCTCCTTACCAGCAGCGAAAACCCCACACATTTAGATAACAGCATGTTTGGGCCCAGCTCCTCTGTAAATAACAACGTGGTGTGGGTAAGTTTGCCCAGGGCACCACAGAATCTGCTGAGCTGGCAGGGAGTGATGCTACCTCAGTCCTTGTGTGCTCCAAGTCCTCTTTTGGTGCTCTCTCTTGGACAAGACCCTCTGGGAGCTCTTGGGCAGCTGAGCTGTTTATTAAGGATCTCAGACTTGCCCAAGCAAGCTGGGGTTTGGTGTCCTACTAGAAATGATCGCTTAGTGTGTGAGTACTTACAGCCCTTTTTAGGATCAGTAAATAAATTAAAGCAATTGAAAGCCACTGTGAAAAAATGCTACTGTCAGGTAATTGAATATTGCTTACTCTTGCATAGTGCTTCTCAATGGTTTGTCACTTAAATGAGAGACTGCCTAACTATCCTATCCAGGAGAAAGATCCACTATGTGGATGCTTTTATTTACTGTTCACTAAAACCAGGTTGTGTTAATGTTTGTTATTACTCTTAGTTCTCCCTTGTTCTTGTTTGTAACTCTGTCTTGCTTTGTGAACATGGATGGCTTCTCTAAAATGTCCAGAGCCATCTGGCCCAGCTGCTTCATGGACCAGTAATAGAAAAGTAAGCATCTAGGTGATGTATCTGGCTGTGCATCCATGGGGGAGTTTCTTGCACACCAAAATGCTACATCACCAACAGGGCAGGAGCTGATCTTGGAACCCCCACCATCCCCAATTTGTGACCTGAGCCCTGCCATGTTTTCTCTCTGGAAACACAGTTAATATTTGGGACAGTTGAATGATAGTGGCCTTTGCATGGCGCCTGTTTTTTGAGTCTGCCAGGTCTGAGCCTGAGGCTTTTCAGGTTAAACCTGAAGATCAGTTCCAAAGCCTGCAGGCTTATCAGCAGTCTCTGATCCTCCCTTCTGGTAGAGTTCACGTATTTTACTTGTTACATCATCTGCCAGTGCATCATACAATTTTGGTCATAGTCAAGCCTGTCCGTAGCAAAGCCCTCTCAGAGGGCTATCTTCCTGCACAGGAAACCTTTCTCCCCTCATCAATTCAAATGCTTTCCCTGGGAACCCTTCAAAGAGCAGATCAGAGAAAAAGGGATCACACAGTTGCTTTCAAACAACACAGGTCCAGCCCTTTGCTGGCACACTGTTGCTTTCCAAATTCTTGATCCAGAAAAGCCCTAGGGAGTGCCCAAAACATCTTGCTGAGCTCTGTCCAGGTTCATCCTCCTGGCAAAAACCTACAGCCTGTGCCAGTTGCACTGCAGGAGCTGAGAGCCGTGGCTCCCTTTGCTCAGTGCTAGGTTGCTGCCTATCAGCTTTGCCCAAAATGTTTTTCTGCATAAAGAGCAGACGAATGCTTTCAGCCAAAACAATATCTTCTGCTTTGCATTGAAAGCAGAGCGGGCTGGGGTTGGTGGAGGACTCAGCATGCAGATGCTTTGGAACCAGCTCTTAACTTGGAGCACGGTGGCAGTTTCCAAGGAAGGAGCTGGGGGGCACTGGCTTCTTGAGAGGGGTCTGGCTGACCCAGATGGGAATCTGTTTCATCTTACAGGCCAGATCCAGCATCTACAGGCAGTGAGGTAGAATAAGTCTGGTCTGGAGACAGTAGGAAAGGTCCAATCCCCTCCTCTGTCCCACAGCTGCAAGGGGAGTGCAGCATCCCCAGCCTGTCCTGAGACCTGCTCCGAGCAAGCCTGGGCCACCCAGAATTGCATCTTTTATGCCATGGTTTGTGTGGAGAGTGAGATAAAGCCTGCTTAAGGAGGCAAATTGCTGATAGGAGTGTCGCTTTGGGTGCTCAGAGGTCCATATATACGTTTTTGTCTGCTGTGCTGAAGTGTGGAGCCAGATCTCTAAATACACTTTTGTGCATTCCCTTAGCAACTACTTCTCTCTCTTTTTATCTCTTTGAAAAAGGAAATGGATGATGATCTCGACGAGGCATTTTCAAGGTAATTCTAATAACACCCTTTACAAGTTCACACCACTGGGGACTAGCCCAGGGGGGGCTGTGTTTTTTAATAATGCTTCTAATCTAATCAGCTGTCATGATCTGACCTAGGCAGCAGCCCCATCAGTACCTCAGCTCTTAATTGAAAGATAGGCTTCGCAGCTGGCTGATAAGCCATACATTTTGACAACCTTTTAAGGATGGAGAGAGGCTGTGTATGATAGGAAATCTGATTCCCTGAGCAGCCAGCATGTCCACCCTTGTTTTTTCAGGGATGTTTGAAGCAGCTTGTTTCAAGCCTTTGTGATAGGTGTGGCAGTGCTGGTCCCAACTGCTGGTATGGGGATCTTTACTCTCCTCCCTCTGTGAGGTTTGGCCAAATCCTGGTACCTTGGTCTTATCTTTCCCCAAAGCAACAGCAAAATGCTGTAGGCAACGTGCTCCCTCCCTGACAAACTCCCTGACAGTTTGTTGCACTGGGTGCCTATTGCAGCTTGATCACATCAAGGCAACTCTAATGCACCAGTTTTGAATTGATGTACCTGAGCACACTCAGAGATTATGGCTAGAATGTCATGTGGCTTAGTTCACTTTCTAGTCCAAATTAAGATCTGCCCTTGAGGTGCACACTGAGCAATCCAGCAATGTTTTCTTTCAGGTGAGTTATCCTGTATCCATGCCCTCATGCAAGCAGGCTTGTAGAGGGTGACAGGCACATGGCCAAGTGAAAAAACGACTTGCTTAGCCCTAAGGGAATGGAGCTTTCTGTCATGTTCAAGTTTTGGGAATGATTTACAACTTCCATTTCCATGGCAACCCCATCCCAAGACCTGTAAAGGGACTGCTTGATGTTGATGTAATGTCATCAATTTTTCTCAGCTCAGTTCCTTGCTCTGCTTAACTAAAGTGTTGGTTGCAGTCTTTTGTTTTGCATTGCTGGGCGTGGAGCTGTCACATTACCCTTGGCCTTTGGGTAAGGCAGTATTTGAACTGAGTCACTGAGGCTGCTCCTTTGGTCAACGGAGATAAGATCCCAGTTAATGATGCAGCCTCCAGGAAGAGCTCAGAGGAGGAAGAAGGCTCTGTTGTGTCACACTGTGAATGTATGGGATGTCCAGACTGCAAATTCCCTGGATTTTGGGTGATGTTAGGATAAAAAAGCAGAAAAACTGCAACAACAAACCTGAGAGTGCTGCAAATGCTGTCATCTCTCCCCTCGTTGAATTACTTCTTTCAGTTGGAGGACTTTGAAGTTTGGCTTTGGCATTACGGTTGCATCATCTGAGCTGTGACCTGCATGCATTTGTGTTCTTACTTTTTCTTTTTCTCCCCTCCTAGACTGGCTCAGTCAAGAACAAACCCTTACGTTCTCGACACAGGACTGACGGCTCAAGACATCCAGAGTGCAGAAATGCTCTCATCTGTAGATTGGAATAAAATAGATTCAAGTACAGGCGAGAAAGATGACCTGTTCATGTTTTGAAGTCAAATCCATCTGACAGCTGACAATGGAATAACCACTACAAGTCTGTGGACTGACTAAATCGTGCTCTTCCAGGTGCTGTATACAAGGGATTCTTCTGAGGGGTCTTCACCAAGTCAGATGAAGTTACAGCACAGCTTAGACCAAAGTTTTAGAAATCTAACGTGGATTGTTTTTTTACCTTGCTTTTATCTAAACCATGAGATGCTCCTGAAGATATTTATTCCTAGCTGTTACAGTTTACATATATTACTGAAAGGTGTGTAGAGCATCTGCAGTATCAGGTGGCAATATGCCATCAGTAGTGCCTGTTCCTCCCTGACAAATACTATGCAACACCAAAGTTCCTGTGTATACACATTTCTAGACAAAGGTCCGCAGATGGAAATGCAGTTGAAAGCACAACTGTTAGTAAACCACTGATTCTTGAACAACACGACACCTGCCCAGCTGAGGGGAGGAGAGTTGCAGCAGCTGCTAGCAGTGCTGAAAGAGGTAGCAGAGATCTTGCTTTTGTTATGAATGTCATCCTCTCAGTTGTCAATCACCCAGACGTGTTCTGGCTTTTTCTTTGCCAGCTTCTTAGGTGAATTGACACTTCTTATCCAAAGACTGTTTAAGTTTTGCACTTTAAGACTTGAGCTGAAAGTAATGGTCCAAAATAGCAAAGTAGGCAGTGCCTGTAACTTCTCTTCAGAAGCCCTTTACCTCCCCACCCCCCAAAAAGAAACCAACAGTGCTGCAGCTGTTTCAAAACTGATTGCTCACACGTATTGTTTCTGTTATGACTTGAAATACTAAGGCTCAGTTGCATGGTTGGTTTAAAAGCAAAAAACAGCAGGCAGTAATAATCTGTTTTCCGAAAGTGCGTTGGAAGTTGCAGGTTGTGTAGCACAATAGATTTGTGTTCTTAGCTCTGCTAAGTGGATTGGGCTGTGCATGCCTTTTTACAGTCTCAGGAACGTTTGGCAGTTGCCTGCTCAATAGACTCAAAGGGAATTGGATTAGGAAGACCAATACCTGTATGTTTAATGAGCAGAAGGTGCCCCTGTCAGTGCTGCTCCAGTCCTTTTCCCCTGACAGCTGCATCTCCCGTGAGGCTGGGAAGCTGTCTTCATCTGCTCCTGGCATTCAAACAAAGTAATGGAGGTATAAAGCTTATGCCAATTAAAAGATTAAGTTTAATGATCCTAAATAGTCGTACTGACAGTTTGCAGTGTTTGTGGCCTTCTGTGAAGTATATTTAGCTGTTTTATAGATTTGTAACTCGGAACTTTGTTTTGAAACACTAATTCATTCCCCAGACAGCTCTTTGTAACTCCTAAGGCTGCTTGCAAACAAACAAACAAAAATCTTGGTCAGCTCTAAGAACTTCTTAGGAAACAGCTAAGTGACACTAACTTAGGTTTGATTATTTGCCACTTACCATGATAAGGTATTGATGACTTGTGAAGCCAACTCATCCCGTCTGTTCATGATTTTGCAGGATAAACAGGGAACACGTTCTGTGTTCAGAGCAGTCCTCAAATGCTGCGCCCGTATTGATGCCATGTGCAGCATTAGGCTCTTGTGCTTGAAGTTTGCAGAGGGGCCTGGGCCCATTGCAGGAGCAGTGCTAAAAGAACAGAAGTGGGGGCAGGAAACACCTTGTGCTGAGTTCTGGGAGCACTCATCTCCCTAAGAAATCGTATTGCAGGAATGGACTGTGAGGCTTTCTCTGTACAATGATGTTCTTTTCTTTTCTAGAGGTTTGAGGAGCATATGCTGATATACACAATGCTATATATGTATGTAGATATTTTTTAAGAAAAAAAAAGAATGTATGGAGAAAAATAAAAGTTCTACTTTTTTTCTTTTTTTTTTTTTTTTTTTTTTTTTTTTAGTGTTTGTGCTGGTTTGACTTTTTACCACAGCTTTTTTCATGTGTAGAAAACTTTGTATTCCTGTCTGGTTGGGTTTTCTTTCTCGCTGGGTGCACAGCAGTAAGGAACTGGAAACAAGTGGACAGGAGGAGGTTGTTTGCAGGGCCATCTGTGCAGAGAAACGATGTCAGTGGTTCCACATAAAGCAGCATGTTTTGCTGCTGGATGAGGCTGCTCTTCCCCTTTGAAATGAGCTCTGGGTGATCCCGTCCACTTGGGGCTCTCAGCCACTCTGCAAGCTGCACATCTCCCACTCTGTGCTTCTGGGGTTGTTTCTCTTTCCAGCCATTGCTGTCAGGAGTTTCATCCCCAGCAAAAACTCCAGTCTCAAGCAGTGTGAAAGGAAAGCATCCCAGGATGAAGTTTTATCACTGCCTGCAAGCACAGAAATGCCCTCTCCCTGCAAATCACAGGGGCAGCTTCTGGCGTGGCTGTTAATAATCCTATTGCTGGTCATGCCACTCCAGGCCCTTTTTGGTTTTTTATGCAGGCATGCTTTGCAGGAGCCATTTGACTTGCACCATTGTCTTTCCATATTCCTAACAGCCTCACCAGCCCCCCAACTTGCTTCTTCTCAGGTCTTGCCTCAAACAAAACCCTCTTTCTGTTTAACAGCGTGAATTTTAATGTGACATTTCAGCAGCAGGCCTGTCACTCGGCTGCTGCCTGCACTGCATGCTCATAGTGTGAGCCCCAGTCAGAGCAGTGCACGAAAAGAAGTGTAAAAGCATTAAACCTCAGATGTGGCAAATTTATCACTTCTGTGTACTGTCACAGCACGAGCATAAAACTTGACAGTAAAAAATAAAACAATTTTGTCGCTGGCGTTTTTTATTACTTTTAGTATGCTGCTTTTTTTTGGTTGTTGTTAGTGGAAATTTAAATTATAATGGTATGCTTCACTTAAAAAAAAATATAAAAAAGTATCCATAGCAACAGGAACATCTAAATTATTGTAGGCTGATCACTTCTCTACTTGAGTCACATCACATGCCTTTCAAAGACAGTCCCAGAGGTGCAGGGTTTTAATTGATTTTCTTTTTTTTGTGGATTATTTGTTCAAATAAACAACTGTATGCACAGCACTTTCCCCATCGATATTCTCCTTACAGAAAGATCTAAACCTAATAATTGCCAGCATGCTTCATTACACAGAGAGTTGGGAATTCAGGCTTGCTCTTACAATCCTCACTTCGTGTGAGCTTTCTTTCAGCTGAGTTGGAGCCTTCTGGTTAAATCATGTAAAGCTGGAGAATTTGCTTCAAGTTCAGCTGATGTTAATTCTGCCTGAAAGTGTTCAGGGAAACTACAAGGGGAGGGGAAGGGCTCCTTAGTTTGCTCTGCTAGCAATCTGCCTGTTAGATTGCAACTGGAGTCGACCTCATCTGTGTTCTCTTCTTGTAGAATTCTTATTTGCTGTCCCTGCAAAGTCACTCCACCAGAGCTGAGGTTTGAAAGCCCAGTGGTGTGAAACTGCGCCCAGTCATTTTCTGGACACTGTCCCTTCATCTGAGTCTCCGTGATCACTTCTGACCCGAAGCAGCTCTACCTTTCCAAAGATCCCTACATCTTATTTGGGAGAAAAGCCCCACCAGTACACACTGATGGCCTTCCTCTAAGCTCATGTGTTGTTATCATTTAAGTTGTGGTAGTAAACTGTGTTTACATGCCCAGAAATCTCAGGCAAAGAATCAAGACTTAATAAGTGTTCACGTGCACAACAAGACGATCTTAACCAAAGCTTTGTACGTGCTGACATTTCTCGTGTTCAGCAATTTGCTTTTTATGTCTTTCGTTTCCCATTGTCGTGCAGCATGTTGCTGGGTCATAATTTCCTGCATCTTTCCCCAGGGGAGGCTGCAAATTCAAGGATGATATATTTGCAGAGCAGAACATGCAAATTACTGTTGAATTAGGCAATCTTTCGACACATGGAATGTTACTTATCATTTAGCCTCTGCAGAAGAACAGCTGATGTGCCAACGAGTGGATCACCAAAAGAAACAAGAGAACGTGTTGGGGTTCTTTTTCTGTTTTGATTTACCTGTAAGGAAGTGTCATGTAAGCATGAAAAGGAGCAGGCTCGGAGGAGACAGCTTTCAGGTTCTGAAGATGGTTATCATCAAGGTGATGCCAAGCAAATGCTGTTACAGGAACTTGGTGTAGTGTCTGTTAGTGACTTCCAGATCAAATTGGCTTTGTATGCAAGTTTCAAAAAGAAAGAAAAGGCGAGGAGGGTGGTTAAAGCAGGCAGAATGATGCAAAAAATATGTCAGACCTGCAGATCTGGCTCATGTTTTAAAATCACATTCTTTCCTTTATGTCTGCTATGAAATCACAGGACTCTTCAATGGTCTTAAACAGAAAGCTGTAATTTTGTGATTGATGCACGAGCCAGAAGATAATCCACTTCACTCTCACGTAGATTTATTACAGCCCTGGGTCCAGCAGGAGTCAGAAATATTCATTTCATGTTGAGGATACAAAGTCATACCGAAATTCTGAGCGCTGACCTTTGCCAGCAGACCGCAAGTTAAGCCATCAGTTCTCTGGTCTCAGCTCTCAGCTGTGCGGCGTTAGGTGAGGATCCAGCAGGAGGTTTTCCCTAATCTGTAGGTGGAGCTTATTGACTCACAGTTTCTCTGAGCTCATATTCTCAGTGCTCAGAGTAATTAAATGAATCCCAGAGGCTGTGTCCTCAGGTACCTGGGAGCACCTTTGCTGGTAAGGTGGGTGTTAACCAGCAAGCCATGACTGTCTGTGGCCACGAACAGCGCTGAGGGGGCAAAGCCTTTCCTTTTGAGGGTGCTGTGCAGGTGGGCCTTGCTTTGTTTGTGTTGATTGTATCACTGCGATCCAGTTGATAGCTGGCATTGTATAAATTGAGACTGAGTTATGGGGGAATTGTCAGAATTGAGTTGCTTGCTCTGCTGTGGCCTCACATTTATGTACTGTGCTGACCTGATGCCTGTGGGATGTGATGGGAGAACGGGGGAAGATTCTAGTAAAGCTATTGAAGGACTTCAAGTAGGTCCTAAATAGGGTAAGCACACAAGTTGCTTTACAACTACAATGGGAGAATCTTAGCTAGTGCAGCTCGTTGTTTTTCACAGGTGTTTCCCTCTGCCCTGGATACCAAGAGCCTTCCTAGTTCTGCTTTTTATGCTCTGAAAATGAGGGCACAGTCCCTTAGGACCAGGAGTAATGAAGAGGCAGCAGAGGCTGGAGCAGAACTGTTCAGTTACAGGCGTTCTCTTGTCTCATTACCCAGATTGCATGAGGAGGTGCATTCCTGCTGAGCTCAGAATTGCATCTTTTTACTTCCTACCTGACATAGCAGTCACAGAGATAGCTGCAAACAAGCTTAAAACTACAGCAGCCTCAGAGCAAAGCTCAGGATACAAAACGTCAGCCTAACCAAAAAACAATGAGGAGCTCTGGGTGCTTCTGCCCAACATCTGTAACGCGTGACAGTGAGTCTGAGCAGGTCCTGCTTTGAAATAACGAGTTTCCTTCCTTACTTTCAGCCTGCCAGCCTCGGCAGCACGAGATGATCAACAGGTGACAACACGGGCATTTGAGGGGGAGGTAGAGGAAGGCAGCTGCAAAGCACCGTGCAGTTGAAGTACGCTACTCCATCTTTATCAGCTGTTTTATGTATGGGTTTTCTTGTACCGTGCACAGGTTGGTACTCCATGCTGTTGTTGGAGGGAAGCGGTGCTGTTGGCTGAACTCGTCTGGGTGTCTATCTGTACTGCTCGGGTGGCTTTGCCACGGTCTAACATTGTTACAATTTAGCCTTTCTGGTGCCTTTTAGAATAGCTCCTACCAAACCAATCCCAGTGATGCATCATTACATAACCTAACAGTGCTGTTGTGCTTTGTGCCTTAAGGTAAAAGCAGACTCTGCTGGCACTCTACTACAAGTATTGTGCACCTGCAATTCCCATTCACATAGCAGGTAACAAAGTTTCTAATTATCTAGGCTTCTGGGGAGCCTCGTGTCCTCACTGCCTGCCTTTTTAAAACCTCGGAATAATCAATAGCAGATGGATCTCTTCTGTTCTGAGTGATTACAGGCCGTCAGGGATTGCTGTGCTCATTCTCATCACGTGCAGACGAGCCCCACTTCAGGAAAGTTTCGGGCTGTTGTATGCATAACACACCTGCCAGTCTGTACAGCTTCTCCCTTTTCTGATCACAGCTGGATAAAGGGATGAGAGCTGCAACAGCTTACATGTAGCTTAAACTGACACCAGCCTCGCTGTATGCAGGTCAGGACAAGTGGTTTGAGGTTAGGTTGTGTTGTTGTTTGTTTTGTTTGCTTCCCTCTGCTTTATTTTTTGCAAAACTAACCATGTTAACTCAAGCTACCCACCAGCAATACAGCAATACTCTCTTCAACCTGCCCATTCTGACCTGTCATTGCTGTGATACTAAAAATCACAGAGTTAAATGGCTCTTCTGAGTTGAAGGCTTTCTGGCTATGGATGATTGCTGTTCCAGCCCAGTCCAGGTGTCCCAACCTCTCCTGTAGCCAGAGGCCATTTCCCACAGTAAGAAGAGGGAGAGAAATGAAGCCTACTTTAACAGACAGGCAGGAGGCTCAGCATAATTATTTTGCCAAACTTTTGCCTTCGCTGTTACCCATTGCTTTGTGCTCTTCCTCCTCACAGAGAAGGAGATATTCTCTCTTTTCTTACGGCCATAAGAAGTGATTCTCTCAAAATTATTTCTTCTAGCCCTGCTAAAAACCAGAAGCAAAACGCAGCAGGACCCCCATCTCTGCAGTAATTACACTCCACTCTCCTGGCTCCTTCAGCACCCAGTCCTATGACTATGTTGCTATGTCTGGAACTCTTGTACACGCAGGCTGAGCTTTTTGCCTTATTACAAATTTTTTAAAGTAATTAAACGTTTACCTCAAAGACAATGCTTTGTTTTCGTTAAGAGCAATGATATTATAATTTAACCTCATTCAGAAAACCTTTAATGTGTAAGCATGTACCTTCAAGACAACATCATGCTAAACACAAAGAAAAAAAAATCTTAATCTAGCATAATCATAATACAAGCCTTGAACTTTTCTATTACTCCTGTGTAAGAAGAGGAGCTCAGCACACCCCCTGGGTTTGTTCAGAACTGTTTTATTATCCCTTTGATTTGTTCTCAGCTGTGTGTTTTCTTATCCTCCTTGATGCTGCCAGATCCTCTTAGCAAGCAGTGCTATCTGACCTTTACGGTCCTGGGGCCATCACTAAGAAGATGAAGGGACCACCACAACAGCAGGGATGTTGTTGTTCTGTTTGTTTTGATGAGGCTGAGGCAAATCACAGTCTTGTGGCCTCTCCTCCAGGGAAGAGATCTGGAGGTAAATGCTTCTTTTTTTTTTTTTCCTCTTCAGTGTGAGGCTGAAGCTGGGTGTTAAGACATCAGAGAAGGAATGATGGAAGCTCATGGAGCAATGGTCCCTAGAGGAGTGCTGACAAATGGGTCCCTGATAAAGGCGAGAGGCTATAAAAGCCTTCTCATCTGAACCAGTCCTGAAAATAACAGAGCTGGCAGGTGGCTTTCAGGTTTCCTCCCATTCTTCTGAACTGCATTATGAAGGCGTACAATGAAGCAAAACCAAAATATCCTTTGCAAAGAGCTCCTGTGCTCTTCAAGCAGCCTTTGGAGTGTCTGCTGCACTCAGCATGGCTCCCATGCAACCTTCCAACAGAGCAGCTACATGTACCCCCTCTCCCTGGTACAGCTATGGGGCAGGGAAGCAAGAGCACTCAGCACTCCTCAAGCAGCTGCTCCAGACAAAACAGCATGCAGAGAAAGTGGCCTGC